CCTTACCAACGACCAATCCCTCCGCAGGTGCGATGACACTAGAAGGGCCAAAACTTCAGCAAAAAGACTAAGTCCAAATTTGTTCCGGATTCAATCCGAATCACACCCGGGGCCCCCGGGACCCCCTCCGAATATACCAACAGGTTCCAAAACACATAACGAATCTACTCGAGGCCAAAATCACATCAAACAACATCGATTCTATGAATCGCAACCCAATTCAAGACTATTGAAACTATGAACTTCCGAATTCCAAAACTAATGTCGATTCATACCAAAACAACTACGATTGACTTCAAATTTTGCACTCAAGTCATAAATGATATTATGGACCTATTCTAACTTTCGGAATCGAAATCCTACCCCTGATATTAATAAAGTCAACTCCCGATTAAACTTTTTAACCTTCCAAATCTAAACTTTCTAACTTTCTCCAATTCAAGCTGAAATGACCTACGGACCTCCAAGTCAACATCCGAGCACGCTCCTAAGTACAAAATCAATATACAGGGCTATTGAAACCGTCAAAGCTTCATTCTGGAGTCGTCTACACAAAAGTCAAACTACAGTCAACCTTTCAACTTAAGCATTCAACTTAGGGACTATGTGTCCCATTTCACTCTGAAACTCACTTGAACCAAAACCAAACACCCCAGGCAAGTCACATAACCATAATACAATATAGAGGAGGCAATAAATAGGGGATCAGGGCTAAAATACTCAAAACAACCGGCTGGGTCGTTACATTTCAGCAGTAGGAAGCTTAATGTATGTGGTGTGTACCAGAACTGACATAGCCTATGCAGATGTTAGTCGTTACATGTCAAATCCTAGAAAGGAACATTGAGAATGAGTTAAATGGATCTTCCGATACTTCAAAGGTACTTCAGGTATGACACTTTGCTTCAGAAAGAGTAGTATTATTTTACAAGGGTTTTCTGATGCAAACCTAGGTGGTGATCTGGATAGTCGAAAAAGTACTACAGGCTATGTGTTCACTTTGGATGGTACAACTGTTAGTTTGATGTCCAGGCTTAAGAAAAGTGTTGCTCTATCTACAACTGAAGTAGAGTACATGGCGAACTCAGAAGTTGCAAAAGAGATGATATGGCTTAAGAACTTTCTGGAAGAGTTAGGCAAGAAGCAGGACGATTGTGAACTCTTCAGTGACAGCCAAAGTGAAATTCATTTTAACAAAAATCTAGTGTTTTATACAAGATCAAAACACATCCAGCTGAGGTATCATCATATCCAATTGTTGATAGAAGATAGAACTCTGTCCCTGATGAAGATACCAGGATCGAAGAACCCGTCAGACATGTTTGTGTTGATCTATGTATTGCCTCAGTTGGCCTTAAAAATTAATAATGTGAAGGCGCCACACAGAGACATGTAATATTTCTTTTGATGTATATGAGTTTGTGGGGAGATTGAAAGGAACAAACCTAGATGTAAAATAAATAGTGAAAGAAAGAAAAAAAAAGTCAAAGAAATACTTAATGAAGAAAGAGAACAATATGCAAAAGGCAAAGAAGGAAATGTATGCTGCATCAAAAGTCAACAACAGCAAAATCCACGATGTGAGGAAAGAAGAAAATGTGTGAATGCAAGAAAAGAAATAGTGTTCATATTCTGATATTTATCTGTAAATAGGCATCCCTTTCCTCAATTGTAAATCATCCCTCAAATTTTTTTTTTCTCTTCAGAGTAATAAAATATTCTCTGTGTGGCCATGAAGTAGGCAAAAATTATCGAACCACATAAATCTCTTCTTGTCTTATTTTGCGAGTTTTTATTATTTTTTTCTTGAAATTATTATATCCTTCATTTAGTTCGATACGCTTCCCAACAATATAGACACGCAAATTCCCGTTCCAATTCTTTGAAGCATTGTGATGCCCGAAGGTTTCCTAGTCACAACTCTTGCTAGAGGAACCAAAATAGTCATACATAGGAATAAGGAACTATAGAGATGGCAATAAAATGTTGCAAAGAAGCAGGTGATATCTTAAAGTTTGAACCAATAGACCGACTGAGCGAGAACGGTAAGGGGCGTACAAACAAAGATGTCTGCAAAGACACAATGGCATACACCAAACATGTACTTCAAATTGGGATCAATCTAAGGAGAAAAAGCCTAAAACCATACATTATCTTTGGCTTTAGACACAAAGTCATACATATTCTTTCACATGAAGCACTAATAGTCCATTTACTTTAACAAAGTGGTGCACTTTTAGTCATAACACTGAGAAAAAGTCCAAAACCATACATTATCTTTGGCTCTAGACTCAAAGTCATACATATTCTTCCATATGGAGCACTAATAGTCCATTTACTTTAACAAAGTGGTGCACTTTTAGTCATAACACTGAGAAAAAGTCCAAAACCATACATTATCTTTGGCTCTAGACTCAAAGTCATACATATTCTTCCATATGGAGCACTAATAGTCCATTTACTTTAACAAAGTGGTGCACTTTTAGTCATAACACTAAATATATTTTAATTTTTAACAGAAATCTAAGATCTGACAAAATATATGTTCAATTTATTTTCTTGTTTACCGAAAGAAAGAAAGATGACAGATTTATCTAGATAGTAAATAATAAATATACATAAAATTTACTTACTATTTATCGATTTATTATTTATTTACTATGCGTAAAATATACATTTACTAAGAAATGTTAAACACCGTTAATTTTTATTTGCCATGATTGTTATCTAGATAACCTCAAATGTTATCTAGATTTTTTTATTATATACATAAAATTTACTATATGTTGACATAAAATAAATAAATATTTATTTGATTTTTTTATTTTAAAAGGAGTCAACGTATAGTAAATATACATAAAATAAAAATAAATTTTATGTATATAATAAAGAAATCTAGATAACATTTGAGGTTATCTAGATAATAATCATTGCAAATAAAAATTAACGGTGTTTAACATTTCTTAGTAAATGTACATTTTACGTATAGTAAGTAAATAGTAAATATTTAAATAGTAAGTAAATTTTATGTATATTTGTTATTTACTATCTAGATAAATCTGCCATCTTTTTTTCTTTCGATAAACAAAAAAATAAATGGAACATATATTTTGTCAGATCTTAGATTTTTGTTAAAAATAAAAATATGTTTAGTGTTATGACTAAAAATGCACCACTTTGTTAAAGTAAATGGACTATTAGTGCTCCATGTGGAAGAATATGTATGACTTTGAGTCTAAATCCAAAGATAATGTATGGTTTTGGGTTTTTTTTCTCAGTGTTATGACTAAAAGTGCACTACTTTGTTAAAGTAAATGGACTATTAGTGCTCCATGTGGAAGAATATGTATGACTTTGAGTCTAAATCCAAAGATAATGTATGGTTTTGGGTTTTTTTTCTCAGTGTTATGACTAAAAGTGCACTACTTTGTTAAAGTAAATGGACTATTAGTGCTTCATGTGAAAAAATATGTATGACTTTGAGTCTAAAGCTAAAGATAATGCATGGTTTTGGGCTTTTTCTCTCAATCTAAGAATTGACTTAGCCTCTTCAACCTCATTGAAGCTACAAACATTATCATTATCCTCAGAACCATCAGGTTTGTGAAGCAACTAGTAGATCAATAAATGTCATTTTAGAGCTTCTTCCACTCAGAAGTATTGTTGTTAGGAACTATGGATCATTTCTCGCTCCAAGTCAAATAGGAAAAACATTAGTTAGTGTGCATCATATCAGGAGGAACAATTATTGTGTTTTGAAAACTATTAACTTATATTAAGAGCACTCCCAAAAGTTTATGCTGCTATTCTACATTCCTTTTCTCTGCCCTCTCTACCTGTTACAAATAAAATAAGAAATAGCTACGCTACTTGCTGCTATAGTTAATTAATGGCTCAAAACCAAGACTATATCGCCTTTTAAGTGGAGTCAAATCCAAGGATAAAATTCTCAGCATAATGATAAATTTTATGAAATGTTGTAAACTGTGTGTGCTCTTTGACAAATTAACTATCATTGCACAGTACACGGATAACTACCTCGTCCATTAACACAGAACACAAGCACATGTCCTCCAAATTAAACAGGGGTTCAGTCTGACTGCACAAGTTTCATAGACAAGGAATACAAGCAAAATGCACAAGTTAACCATCTTTTTTATATATTTATTTAAAGGGAGGGGATAATTACAAGGCGGGAAATCAAACGCTCACCAAAAAGGTAAAAATTTAGATAGTCAACCAACTGATAAGATACTCCCCTTAAGTTAACTTCGCGGGCCCTAAAATTGGAACCTTTTTTGGGAGAACAGCTAAGAGAAATGCTTCTAAACAACCAGGCTTTTCATAAATTTGGAATTTTCTATTGCAAATCATTCCTTTTCCGTTTACCTTTCTTATTACTATATGTTGTTCCAGTAACCTGTTACCCCATCCTTCCCCATCCCGTCTTTCCTATCTGTGTTACCTAATCTAGACCATCAAAAAGGGACGCTTTTAGGGAGAAAATAAAATTTGCAGTAAATCTTGTGCAAAGTGAGTGTTTGTATAACTACTCAATGGATACAACTAGAAATTAGAAAAGAAAGCATAGGATTCAATTTATTCTACGTTTGTGATAATAGTATTTTGGGGTTTATTGCTTCAACGAGTGGAAATAAAAGTAGAAGAGTAAGTCATTGTTATGGACTTCTAGACAATCCATTCAAAGTTGGACAAAGACACTACAATACCCATTCTAATGACTACTTTTTTTTGTTATGATAGCGGTGTCTTTGCGCGCATCTCAACTAATTCTATTGGACACATGCTATCTCCAAAAGCACAGGTACCTATTAAACATATTATGGTATATTCTCTATTAAACAATATAATATATCACTAATTAACTTTGATAAAAGAGCAAGTACTTCGGGAAAGAGTATGTTATGAACCAACACCAGCACAATCTCACACAAGTAGTTATTGGATTAAAAAGAACTATTGGGCCAAGTACAAGCAATAGGGCCAGGTTAATTTGGGATCCAGGTTGAGTAATAGGCGTAAGAATGCTTCTATATTATAAGGGGCAATGGTCTGTGATTTGGGTTTATGCGAATATTGTTGAAAAAAATGTCAGAATCCTCTCATCCCCAATTCTGAGTCTAGCTTCTCATCCCTTTCTTATCTCTATCCTTAGTTACTTGTTACTTCAGTAGTTTCTATTGTAATTCAGTAGTTTGAGAGTTGCAATTGTTATCTCAAAGTTGTAATCAGTGTTCCAGTCGTTATTAATATAGTGAGGACTTTCAGTATTGTTACATTGGTGCTTTTATCTATCGGACTTCAACAACGACATGTTTCTACTTAGATTCAGTGGCGACGGCAACTCGGAGAGATGGATTTTTCTGGCTGAGTTGTACTTCACATACCTTGACTTCTCCAAGAAGGACTGGCTGCCTCTTCCTTCCTTCTATCTTGAAGGCGATGCCCTCGCGTGGTTCAATTGGTTCCAATTCTATGATTGGAACCATTTCAAGGAGAAATTTTTCTGCATTTTCAAAAACGGACCTTCACTATTTCGTCGAGAATGACAGATACTGCACAAGCTTTTGTTGATTACGTCAATTTCCCTACATTGGTTCGACCATCGACCTATGTGTCTGCATTACTCAAATCCCCAAAATTCATGAACCCAAAGCTCGTCTAGTTGATAGAGACAAGTATGCAATTGTCGTAGACGAGGTGCTTGATGAAAATCCCCAAGGTAATGAACCTGATATGCATTCTCAATTTTCAAAGGATGAAGCTCAATTAGTTCCTCTTATTGGACAAGATTATTTCATGCCTAAAGAGATTGAACAATTCGAGATTCTTTCTATAGTCACTGGAGAACTTTTAGATGCAACGGAGATAAACTCTGATTCAGACGATGGCAAATCAGAGTGTGCTCTGAATTTTTTTTTATAACACCATGTAAAATCAAATTTTCTTAAATATTCTATAAATATAATAATTAGTTACCAAGTTATTCGAATATTATATTTTTAATTAAATATAAGTTACTACTTATATACTTCAAATGTTTAGAAAAAAACAATGGTAACTATACAATGTTGAATTTTAGAGAAAATATATTAAAAAATTCATGTGTATGCACATTCACACATTTTAATCTTAATTAAACAGGATTTTTTGAGCATTTACCATGACATTAAATTTTAGACTTCCCATTTAGGAATTCTTATTAAGGTACTAAAATTGACCTACCTTTACAAAGGGAAACGTTCGAAAATGTACTAGGAGTATACCCCTGCTACCGCCTGCGCTTGCACTGATGTTTGGACTGGGTAGCAATGGCGCAACGAAACATCTCTTTTCCATCAGATTTCAGCTCTTTTACTCCACAGCTGCAGCAACTTCCCGTGCTAATACATTGGTGGACTTTCTGGTGAACTCACTTGGCTTCTCCAACAAAGAAGCCATTTCTACAAGCTCCAAGGTAACTCGTTCGAGACTCCGGAATTATGAGCCACATTTGTTACTTGATCTCTTTCGCAAAGTGGGTATGAACAAAGCCCAGATAAAAACCCTTGTTTCTTCTTCCCCTGAAGTGTTGTTTTCTCATATTGATAAAAACCTTAAACCCAAAATTAAGGTTTTACAAGAACTTGGCTTATCTGGGTCTGACCTTGTTACTTTTATCAATAAAAGCGATTTCTTGACAAGAGGTTTACATACTACTATTAAACCCAGTCTTGATTATCTTCGGGAGTATTTGGGCAGTTATGATGCTGTAGCTAGGGTTGTTAAGAAAGAGCCTAGGCTGCTTTCCAATAATCTCCCTAAAGTAATACCACCCAATATATTATTGTTGCAAAATCTTGGGTTTTCACGGGTGGATATTGAGACGGTTTTTCATCGGCGTCCTAGGTATCTGCTTAATAACCCTGAGTGGCTTGAGAGAGTAGTAAATCAAGCAGAAAAGAATTTTAACGTACCTCGGGAGTCACGGATGTTTCTTCATGCCATTGAAGCACTTGTGTCGCTTGATGAATCGAAATTAGAAAGGAAATTAGATATTTTCCGGAGTTTTGGATGGTCTGATTCTGATATATCCGCAATGGTGCGAAAGCTTCCTTACTGTTTGACTTCATCAGAGGCTAAGATAAATATTACATTGAAGTTTTTCATGAATGAACTGGGGTATGAACCTAGTTATCTGGCTTCTCATGCACCACTTTTAAAGTACAGTATGGAGAAGAGGGTCAAGCCAAGGAATGAAAATTTGAAGTTTCTTCAAGAAAACCAGCTGATAAAAGGGAAACTAAGTCTTTACACTGCCGTGTCATCTCCTGAATCACGATTTCGAAAGAAATATGTTCTTCCTTTCAAGGAGAAGATGCCTGAGTTGTATGATTTATACATCAAAAATACAAGCTAAAGAGAGGTCTTTACAGTGAGACAGTGGCTGCAGAGCAGTGTTTATTTAAGAGATTTATTCACTTCTTGATAGTTTTGTTCTTTCATTTTGGTGCTCTTTTCAAGCATGTTGCTAGTTTACCTTTCATTGTTGATGATATATTTATCAAAAAAGTTACTGAGCTATGAAAACTAGAAATTTAGGCTGGTCTCATTTTCAAATCAACTGATGTTTCTTGTTTAATGGGAAAGAAAGCAGTAAAGAAACCAGACTTGATATATATGACATTGATTGTTTGAATGCGTATCTCAATGAAGACCGTAATTTGTTGTCGTTGTAACTGAAGTTTCTTAATCTAATATCTCTTTGTGATAGGACAGTATTGCTCCTCAACCTAATCTTGACTTAAGGACTATCCGTTGTTGCCTTGTCTAGGTTAATGGGTCTACAATCTTCATTATACTCTGAAAAGCACCTTCTTTCAAGCTTGGTCAACAGTAGGCATGATGCTCTACATGTGGCATGTACCTATTGTTGACAATTTTGAAAGGAGTTGTAGGCCATTGCCTGTTGTCAAGAATAAACGGAGTGTTATCTAAGAATCAGATACAAGTTAATTTAGGATTAATTCTGTGAAAGTTGCTTCAGAAAACCAATTTTAGTTCAGTGTAAGCTTTATTTCATTTGTTTTTGCCATGGTCATGTCTCATATGTATGAAATTTGGCGTTGGTTGATTCTTAGTAATGTACTTGTCCTAGGAGATTGGGGTGGTTCATTGGTGTACAAGTAAAAGAGAACCTAAAGTATCCTCTCAAGTACTTCATGGAATCAGCATATATGTTTTAAGTGTTCTAGCTTAGCTGACACATCAACTATATGATATCCACTTTTTCCTAATTGGGGATATTTGACTCATCTTTGTACACTTTCAAGTCACTCATGGTTGTGTAGCACGCTAGGCCCTCTGTCCCACAAACCCTACGCAGTGTCTCTAATTTTTGTTGTTGTTGTTGTTGAAAAGATAACTATTTTACTGCTGTAGCACAAAGGTTATGCAATAAGTACAGGCATTACATAGCAAAAACATTTAGTCCCATTCCTGTCCTTGTAGGGTCTCTATGAGATTCTATCAATGGTTCAGCTTCATTTACAATTTCCTTTTTACATAAAAGTGAAAAACAAGTCTGCATTTAATCTTGATATTCTGTAGAGAGCTGACTTTGTCTTCAAAGCATCTTACATTCTATCAATGGTTCAGCTTCATTTACAATTTCCTTTTTACATAAAAGTGAAAAACAAGTCTGCACTTAATCTTGATATTCTGTAGAGAGTTGACTTTGTCTTCAAAGCATCTTACATTCCTCTATCTCCAAACAGTCTACTATATACTTGCAGGAATGGTATTCCACCATTTCTAGCCTAATACAATTTTGGAACCCAAGGGTGTGGCCTAGTAGTCAACGAAGTTGGTTAAGAACCATGTGGTCTCATGTTCAAATTCCAGCGGAGGAAAATATACTCGGTGATTTCTTTTCAGTTGTCCAAGCCACGTGGATAGAGTTACTTGGTACCTGTGCTGGTGGGAGGTACCTCATGGAATTTGTCGAGGTGCCCGCANCCCCCCCCAAACCCCTTTGAGTAGTTCAATGGTGCTCCTAGGAATCACCCATTTAACGCCCACCATATTCATAAACAACTGTCCCCAATTATCCATAATAGGGCAATGAAGGAAGAGATGATTTAGTGTCTCTGGTTTTCCTTCACATAAGTTACATTTGGAACAAAACTGGAAGCTTCTTTTCTACAATTCTCATGTGTCGACCAGATTCTTTGGCTAGTAGTCTAGAGAAACATGCAATGTTCTATGTGATGTCCACCTTTCATCTCTGTTTTCAGGTCAAGAGACTGCTTGTTGTTCATCTGAGGTAAGAGAGGCATAGCATAGCAGGGCATCACTGTAAAGTGTCCTTTACAGTGAGCTTTACTTTATCTTCGTAGTTGTTAAAACCTTAGAAATGCTCTAGTGCTTTCAAAATTTTGCACCCTTGCCTATTTCCTAGTCATTCAACCTTCTTCAAAAGTTGAAGGTCCAGCCATGTTCTTTGTAGGAGCTCAAAGTAGTTTATGGCTGTTGTACAAGGTTGATTATGTCAGCAAACTGTTCTTTCAAGGGACCCATGCCTATACAACTGTTATTCCAAAAGGACACCCTCCTACCATTACCCACTTCGGTATCAATATTTGATCTAAAAGAGGGCCATAGATTTTCGATATTCCTCCATACTACTGCTCCATATGGAGAAGATGACTATTTCGAACACCGGGGGCTTTCTTGGCCATATTTCAAGTGATAACTTCTCTCAATAGTTCTTGTTCTGAATTGTATCTCCATAGCCTTTTCATCAGAAGGCTACTATTATGCTGCCTCAGATTCCTGATAGCCGATCCTCCTCCTTGGCCAATAGATATAGAGCTCCATTTGACTGAGTGAGAAGATCTATCATTGTTGCTTTGCTAGAGAAAGTTTCTCCTTAGGGCACCTAATCTTTTCTTCGCACTAGCTGGTAACGGGAATAGTTATCATATAAGTTGGCATTGAGTCTACAGTATTAATCAGGACCATCCTTCCACCCAGGGAGAGGTATTGACTGTTCTATTTTGCAAATCTTTTTTCACATCTTTCTATCACCTCTTGCTAAGTTTTTTATGACTTGTTCTTTTCACCTAAAGTGAGCCTTATCTAGTTGGTAAGCTACCGACTTGACCTTCCAGTATGCGAGCAAGTATTCAGACATTGGGCATTTGATTCACAGAGAACATAATACCCTTCAATTCTTCAAATTCAGTTAATATCAACCTTGAATGCCTTATTTGCACCACACTAGCATAAAAACAAAACTAGTGGATCATCGAGATATAAAAAGTGCAAATCTCCATAGTATTGAACCCGATGCTAGCCAGTTTAAAGCCCCTTATCCATCAACTATGACTGGCTATCCTTAGCATTCTGCTAAATCCTTCCATAACCAATACTAACAGAAAAGGAGATAGATGGTCATCTAGCCTAAGGCCCATCTGTGAAGGAAAGCCCACAAGAGAATGATTAATCAAAATTGAAAATGTGACCATGGTGATACAGAAGAATAACCATTTTAGCCATTTCCTACTGAATCCCATATCTTTTAAAACATTGATTAGGAAATCTCTATTCACATGATCATACGTCTTTTCAATATCCAACTTGCAAAGTATTTTAGGTGTCTTGCTTTTTATTCTGGTATCCATTGACTCATTTTCTATCATGGCAGCATCCATGATCTGCCTCCCCTTGATGAATGCCATCTGGTGTTTGTCAATTAACTTGTGCATGCACCCTCTTAGATCTGTCGGTCAAGAGCTTAGAGATGATTTTGTATATGCTCCTCTACAGAACTGATAGGTACAGAATCCTTCATTGCCAAGGCTCCATTCTTTTTTTGAGATAAGAGCAATGTAAGTGGCATTTATTCTCTTTTCAAAATTACCTTGTCCGTAAGAGTACTCCACTGCGTTCATAATGTCTCCCTTAATGATTGGCCAGCATGTTTGATAGAAACTCATAGTGTAACTATCAGAGCCCGGGCTTTATCATTTGCACTGATTTTGATGGTCTCTGCTACTTCCTCTCCTCCAAAAGGACCTTGTAACCAGTTGTCTTCCTCTTCACTGATTTTTGGACATTCATTTATGTTGAACCGAAGAACCCTAGAAATATCTCCTGATATTTAGCAACATGTTCAATTCCCAAATACACTAGCTTTTAGGATCAATTCCTCCTTAGTATCTAGCCTTTGTTCATGTATTTTTATCCAACACAGACATTTGATTCATAAGTCTGATTTTATCTCTAGACTGCCAAAGTTGTTGGTATTCTCACTTGACCAATTTTGCTTTCAAAATTTCAGTTTCTTTGTAAGAGTAAAATCAGGCCTACATGCTACCATAAAGGAGTCCCACCAATCTTTTATCTTCTCTTTAAAACCTTCAACCTCTATAAATACCCCCTTTCCCCACATTGGAGTAATTTAGGATTATAACTCGAGGCAATTCTGGGAAGTGCAGACAACTTGATGTACCTAAACTCTTCAACCCAGTTTGTTGTGGAAAGGAATCTGTCCAATCTTTAGGAAATATGACGATAATTGCCCTTCAACAAAGGGGTGCTTTCCTTGTGAGTGGTGTATCAATTAACTCCAGATTTTCCATGCATTCTGATACATGGCCCTTGTCATTCTGTTGTTGTTAGATCTCTCTGATACAAATCTTGTCACATCAAATTCTCCGCATACTACCCCAGGGCCTACACACACATATACCTCTGGTTGCTCATTGCTGCCATTTTCCCACCAAAGTTCCTGATTCGGATTGGCAATGAGGCTTACTGATGGTATGTAATCTTTAAAGGATTTCAGCGAGATTATCTGATGGTATATATGTTATGATACATCCATCAGTCATTTTTGTACTTTAATTTAATTGAATAACTATTGGGACTGAGTTTTCCCTTCTAAGATATCAGTTCAGACGTTGATGCAAACTACCTATATGGCTATTTCGCCATGTTTTTGGGATCAATATAATTCTTGGCTCAGACTTGTAAAACCATCACGTTGAAATTGTCAACTAATTTCTGAAAATGACTTGAGACTGTAACCAGTGTAATGTAATGAGTTCTATGTAAGTGGTTTCAATTTTCAAAGCAAATTCATCAGTAGACAGCAAACAATTGTAAACATCAGAAGACCTTCTTGACAAGAGCATATATATAAATAGCAAAGTTCAACTAATGTAATTACATTTGCATCATGTTACAAAGACATGACATGCACTTGTGAAGACATGACAGAACCATTTCATCAGAACAAGTCACTAAGACAGTAAAAACTGCTACACAGTGAACAATTAGACATCCAAAGGGATCACATTGTCTCCAACTTTGCTGCATTGGCCAACAGAACCTTGTCACTAACTACACGTGGCATGTACCTATTGTTGACAATTTTGAAAGGAGTTGTAGGCCATTGCCTCTTGTCAAGAATAAACGGAGTGTTATCTAAGAATCATATACATAGCAAAAGAATTAGTCCCATTCCTGTCCTTATAGGGACTCTGTGAGACTTTATTACTGATTTAGCTTCATTTACATTTTCCTTTGTACGTGAAAATGGAAAACAAGTGTCACTTAATCTTGATATTGTGTAGAGAGCTTTGTCTTCAAAGCATCTTACATTCCTCTATCTTCAAAGAGCCTACCATATAC